GGAGGCCCCGCGTCTATTAGCAACACTTGGAAAGCTATTAAAGGCTTGTCCAGTACCTTAAAAAGATGGAGCATGTAGTCCTTTGGGTCAGTAAGGCAAGAGATCAAGAAGTTGGAGAAAAGATTGTCAGCCTTGCGAACATGTTATAATGGAATTGACATAGCCCAGGAAGAGAGGAATATTGAAAAAAGATTATGCGAACTGTTTGAAAGAGAAGAAATTATGGCCCGTCAGAGGTCAAGGGTGGAATGGCTCAAGGAGGGAGACCGCAACACCTCTTTTTTCCACGCGAGAGCCTCAACCAGAAGAAGAACAAACAGGATAAAACATCTTCGCAAATCTGATGGCTCACTATGTGAAGACCAAAAAGGTATTGAAAATATGGTTCATGATTTTTACTTGAAACTCTTTTCTTCTTAGCCTTGTGAATCTATGGATGCTCTATTAGAGGCCATTCCAAATAAGGTAAGCAGAGAAATGAATGACGTTCTTAATCGTGAGTATACTAACGAGGAAATTAAAGTTGCTCTGTTTCAAATGGGGCCTACCAAAGCTCCCGGGCCTGATGGTTTCCCTGCCATCTTCTACCAGAGACACTGGGAGATATTGGAGCAAGACATATGTTCAGCAGTAAGAGGTTTTCTATATGGGGACAACATTCCTGAAGGCTTCAATGACACCATCTTAGTGTTAATCCCCAAGGTGAATATGCCTGATTCGCTATCTAGCTTTAGACCAATTAGCTTATGCAATGTTATTTATAAAATTGCCTCTAAAGTTTTAGCGAATCGTCTTAAATGTCTTCTGCCGGAAATAATTTCTGAACAACAAAGTGCCTTTGTCCTGGGGAGACTAATAACTGATAATGTGCTTATTTCATATGAATGCCTTCACACCATCAAGAGGCAAAAATCAAAGACCCCTTATTATGCTCTTAAGATCGATATGACCAAGGCTTATGATAGGGTTGAATGGGGTTATTTAAAGGGTGTGTTACTGAAACTGGGATTCAGTGCGAGATGGACATAGTCTATTATGAGATGTGTCACTTTAGTAAGATATGCAGTCAAAGTTAATGGGAACCTTACTGATTCGTTCACACCAACTAGGGGAATTCGCCAGGGTGACCCCATTAGCCCGTATTTATTCTTAATATGCGCTGAAGGTTTATCATGCTTATTGCATCAAAAAGAAGCTTCGAGGGAACTCAAAGGCGTACAAAATGGAAGAAATGGTCCACCAATATCACATCTGTTATTTGCAGATGACAGTGTTTTCTTCATGAAGGGAGATGCCAAAAGTACTTACACTCTGAAATCAGCACTGCAGACTTATTGCAAGGGCTCTGGCCAACGAATTAATCTGCGAAAATCATCAATTTTCTTTGGGAATCATTGTAACGATCAAGTCAAAGAAAGAGTCAAGAACATATTGGAGGTCTACGATGAATCTCTTTAGGCTACATATCTTGGTATGCCTTCCTGGGTGGGCCGATCTCCAACGATTAAATTTAACTATCTCACTGGTAAGCTGTGGAGAAGGTTAAATGGATGGAATGATAGACCTTTATCACGAGCAGGTAAGGAGGTACTCCTGAAATCTGTAGCACAAGCTATCCCAACTTATGTGATGAGCTGCTTCCAAATCCCAACAACAGTCTGTGATAATATGAGGAAACCAATCTGTAATTTTTGGTGGGGAATTGAAGATGGGAAGAGGAAACTCCATTGGAGATCTTGGGAATGCCTTTCCACTCCTAAATATTTGGGAGGGATGGGATTTAGGGACATGGTCCTGTTCAATCAGGCTATGTTGGCCAAACAATGTTGGCGCCTACTTATGGGCACCCATTCCCTATGCTATAGAGTTAGGAAAGGAAGATACTTCCCTGAAGGGGATTTTTGGAACTCGGGTTGTCCAAGATCTGCCGCATACACATGGCGAAGCATCTGCTTCGGCAAAAAACTTCTGAAAAGAGGTTTGATTTGGAGGGTGGCAGATGGCAAGCAAATATCCGTGACTAATGATAACTGGATCCCAGGAATACCTCCTGGAACAGTATCTACAAATATCCCAATGCTAGATAATCAGACTGTTCGGCCCTCTTATCTTCTGGAGGAAGGTATTGGAATGAGGAGGCTGTGAAGAACATATTTGCACAAGATATTGCAAACATAGTCCTCAAAATCCCTTTAAGTTCAGAAGGATGTAGTGACTTTGTATCTTGGCCTTTTACCAAAAGCGGACACTATACTGTTAGGTCAGGCTACAACTTTGCAAGAACGCAATTGTTGTGGCAAGAGCGAAGTGCAAATGGAAAAGGTTCTACCTCAAACAATGAAGCTGATGGAAAAATATGGAAGAAGCTTTGGAAGGTAAAATGCCCGGACAAAATGAAAATCATCTTATGGAGAATCGCACAAAACTGTCTTCCTACAGGTGACAATCTTCAAAAAAGATCAATACAAACAAGGTATGATTGCCTCATATGCAATAGATTTGAGACAGTGGATCATTGTTTCTTCCATTGTCATTACACTAAAGAAATTTGGACCGAACTGAAGAAATATCATCATATCTCCTTAAAAGTGAAGAACTTTTTACATATTCGTCAATGGCTACTGGAATGGATCAATGAGGCTCCTGATTTCCAACTTATGGTGTTCACGATTGTTGTTTGGTACATTTGGGAAAACAGAAATAACATTAGAATTGGGGAGAGTTTCATTCACCCACAACGTGTAGTTGGGAAGATTAATGCATATATTGATTTTGTTATCCTAAATAATTTCAGATCGACTCACCTTACTAGGTGTGAGGCCCAAGCATCAACCCCAAAGTGGTCGCCACCGCCGGAAGGGTCGGTTCTGATCAATACAGATGCAACAATCTTCTCAGACTCGTGTCGTATGGGTATCGGAGTTGTCATCCGTGACCATCTGGGAGTAGTACGGGCTGCTTGCAGATGCTATGTGGACCAGGTGGAAGACCCAGAACTTGCTGAAGCCATAGCGGTGCGACATGCCTTATCATTCACCGAAGAAGCTGGCTTCCAATCCATTATTATGGCATCTGATTGTTCTACTGTATTGAATAAGGTGAAGAATGTGACAACTGATAGATCTCAGATAGGTGCCATAATATATGACATCAAAAGCAGGGCTCTTAAGTTTAAATCTTGTATGTTTACTCATGTCAACTGATCATGTAATGTGGCAGCTCATGTTGTTGCTAGATCTGCAGAACATGACCCTGGGTCCTGCTGGTTTAATGTTGTACCTGGTGTAATCAGGACCATCATTTGTTCTCAAACATTTGCTGAATGAATGTAATGCAGCTGCCCATTGTCTCAAAAAAAAAGAGCTAGTGGCCCGTCGCTGTTCATCCCTATGTAATGAAATACGTAGCTTTTCCAGTACCGTCAGTGCAATTTACTCTCTAAAAATCGTACATGTAAGTTGTAAAAAAGTAAACGTGCTTTCTTTCTAAAATTCTATAAAGCACCATATTTTTAAGCAGAAATTTATATGGATAAAGTTTACATCACATACATGCTTTTTATTTCTCTGATTTTTAGTCTCCGCTCAGGGCCTCTGACGAGCCGAGGATGCTTCTGAGTTCATGACAGGAATTCCCCAACTGCTAAGAGATATTATGTCTAGTAAAATTTCACTCAAAATTTTGATTTAAAAATTTCGGAGTTTTAGAGGCTTACCATACTACCTTAGTGTCTTTGCCTTATACACGTGGTCCCCCAATCTAGGGCGCATCTTTGTCTCACCCGCAGCGAGACGAAAGAACTGCTTGCCTCTGGTGCTTCCTTTGAAAATTGTGTTTTGTATCTCCTTGATGCTATATTATGTGATAATAAAATCACCTTTTTTAAAACGGAAAGACATGTTCGTGACATTTTCAAAAATGTATGTTATTTTGAAAAAAAATCCCACCATTCAGATGTTCATGGCATGTAAAATAATAATTAGGCGTTTCAAAAATATGGTATTTATTTTCTTTGTAAAAGATGTATAATTTGTTCAAAAATATTTTCATATTTATAAGATATCTCATAATGCATTTGACTGAACGGTGCTTGTTGACTGCATAAGAAATGTCACTTCTTGTCAATGTGAGGTAGTACAAAGCACATAACATCCGGGTAGCCCTGGCGTCTTCTGTCGGCCTCGTCTTCCTGGAGCGAGGCAGAAATGGAATAGCCTGGTCTTCTTGGCCAGTGGAGTTTGTTGGTGCGTTGAACAACTCGTAATTCTTCACCATGTGGGTGATATCGCGGGGTTACCATGTTGGTATCGCGGGGTTACCATGTTGGTGCGTTGAACAACTTGTAATTCTTCACCGGTGATATCGCGGGGTTACGTTGTTGGTGTGTTGAACAACTCGTAATTCTTCACCATGTTGGTGCGTTGAACAGTTGACGCATGTCATCGTGCAAATGATTATGGTGCAGGTGAACATGATGTGTAAATGCACATAAATGATTATGGTGCAGGTGAACATGATGCAACCTGCTGTAGCCGTCATTGCTTCTGCCAGGATGATGCGGTGAATTTGCCGGCTGACCTGGTGTGGAGTTGTTCTTGACCATGTAATAGGACGCAGATAAACATAAAGTGAGTTTGCATGCCGGCTCAATGTTGCATGCTCTGTTTCGCCCCTGGTCCAGCAGTTCAGTCCATAAACATAAAAGGGACATCTTATGCATTCCATTTGTTTGCGCCCGGCATGACGCTGCCATGGACCTGACCAGACACGCCCGGCACGCACAGGCACACACACCCGACGTGGTCGCCAACAAATTCGTCGATTCCGGTAGTGTACGGTAAAAGTGCACAAAACAACATAAATAGCGTTATTACATCCCATAGCAAACATCAGCAATACAGTGGATGATTGGGGTAACTAAAACAATACGTATTCACACAGATAATAGTAGGGGTCCCTAATCTGTGATGACCCGATACATCTTGTACATCTACTGGAGATTACATAGGAATGGGCTCGAGAAACAGTTTGTTGACGATCTCTTGAATGTGCATGTTGAATGTGTATGCATCTCCTCCATTGTCGTAGTAGAGTTGCATGCTAACAACCGCATTGACAACCCGCTGCACTGCTGGGAGTAGTGCACCGTGATCAAAGCGAGCCTGATTCGTGGTTTTCCACCCATCCTCTATGAGTGAATAGATTACTGTGAAGGCTTGCTCATCTGTAACTCCATGCTCATGGATGTAACACTCCACAGAGCTCTCGACGTCCCCACTGTTCTTTCCGCGCTGCAGGTTTATACCATTAGATCGCTTTAGTCAGTGGTATAAGGTTATGTTTACTCATAAACCTAGCTAATAATTAACAAACCGAGTTTTACTTTATATGCCGCGATGTCATTCAGAAAATGGCCAATCCTTGCGCCGGCTATGACTGCATCAGGCCTACTGGCAACCCAATCGAATGCTGCATTCGTTATTGCCTCACCCATGCCAGCCAACATACCCACAGATAGCAATGGCACGGCTGAGGACATGGATGTCAGATTCACTTGATCTTCAAAACATGGCTTATGATTTTGTTGTACCCATTCAGCTTCTTGGAGATAATAAGCAGACTGATTTTGGAGCTACAAACACATAATTAAAGAAAATTGATGAATAAAGGGACAATATTTTCAACAATTGCAATATGCCTACGTCGCAAAAAGGTGTACCGCTTTCTTCGTGTAGTCAATCCGGTACTTGTCAACTATTGCCACTTCTCCCTCAAACATCCGAAAGTTTCTTAGCAATTCTCTATAGAACATTTTCAGGTACTCTGGTACGTCAGAAATGGCACTCTCATCCTATCTACACATGGACAGTTAGAATACAAAACAATTAAGGAAACTAGCATCTATATAATTGTTCCCAAAATGATTCTCAAGGAATAAATTTGAAGACGCTTTTTTCTGAAGAAATTTAGAAACAAACTATACCCTACCTTTGAATGGCTGCATTTAGCAGCCTACATTCCTCTATGTACATCATATGTATCATCCAGTATGGTGATTAGTGTAATTAACTTGGCCTTGATCATCCTTGCGCGTGCACAACTTTGCTCATAGAACACTGTGTGAGACCACAAGTAAGCCTCCACAATACGATCACGCACATAGGTTAATCCACAGATGCTCTTTAGGTTATTCCACCACCTGAAAATTAAATATTGAAGTGTTGAGCCCATTAAACAGAAATCAGTTAGGAGCATCATTGTGGACGTATGGGACAACATATGCCATTATTTATATTGTGTCGTGAGTAAGATTAATTATACCATAAGCTAGTTGTTCAATGAGGTTACAGAGAACCGAGATACAGTTAATTCATAAACATCACCACATGGTTTATTTATACGAACACACACCATTAGAAGAAAAAGTTAGTTAGTTACACATCATCGATCATAAGAAGTTAGTCACAAAATCCTAACGAAGTGCAAGGTTCTTTGCTTATTAAAAGCATAGATTCAAACACCAATTAATCCTCTCACCATTATAACTCACTTCTGGATATCAAGGACACTTACTCGCTAATATCTTTGAGCTCCATTAGCTGGACATGCCACAGAAGGGTAAAATCCAGCTGTGCGAGCTCAAGTATAAGAGGTTTATAGTCCTTCTCTTTTCTGTATTCCGACAAGTAGTGCAATGTTTCCACCCTTCTAGAGGTCCTTGGAAGTGGTACCTGAAGAGCTCGTTTGACTTGCTCAGCTAAAGGGGAGTTGAGACTGCCCCTAATTACTTCAAGATGATGTCTGGCGAAGGAAATGGCTTCTTCGAGCTCCGGCTCATTATGAACAAAAAGGTAAGCAGCGTTGTACAAACTTAACAATCCCTTTGGCTCATTTGTTATGTCCTTCCTGAAGCACCCATCTTTACCTCTGAAGTTATTGAATACATCTGCAAGAATAAATGCCACGGAAGTCTTTGTATCAAGCAAATAACTATCCGATCTTACGTTTGGACCACCTTATACTAAATTATTTCCATGCATGTTAGGCGATAAAAAATTAGTGGCAAGTAAGTGATAGGTGAATTCACACATCATGTGTTGGCCCAGACCAGACACCGAGTACTTTCCGGTAGCGGCGACCGCGACAATGAACGATGACGAACGATGACTAACACGAACAAAACGAAGCTGATTCCTGATCGATCCACGGCAGTGCGAAGCTAGACTTAGCTATTAGCTAATCGATCTATATATAGCACCTCGCGTACGAACACAACACATGCACGCACGCCAGAAAAGCTTGATGGCCATAGCGTCGTATTACTCCTGTTTGATTTGTATTACTTTTACAAATCACGGTACAAGTTACAGGGCTACTAGAGGAATACACCGCTAAAAAAAAGGGGGAATACTACTCGGAAGCTAATTCCAATACTAGTAGGATCATACATGCACATGGACCCGGATACATAACATCATGGGAGGCTGTGTCGTTTTTAATCCAACATCATGCATCGACCAATTTCTAGATGAGACAACACTAATCCAATTCACTTGCTTAAGGTGTGAACTATGGAAGCAATATCATAAGGATGACTAAATATGCAAATATGTAACACAAACTGCGTGAATCTAGTCATAGTATGACTTGCCGGGTACCAACATATCTGAAGAGCTCCCTGCCATTTAGTTTATTAACATATAAGAGGTTCATAATTTACCAAAATATTTAAGATTAGCTGCATCTGCAAATGAGCAATACCAATTAGCATTATATTTAGCATTTCGATGACCTGGGAAAAGTTGTACTCATCATGGTACCCAATATAATTCTATTAATAAGTATACGACACAGAAACATAAATAAAAATAGAAAATAGTCAAAATTAGGTAAACTATTAGACGGATGTCAAAAAATTAAGAGCAAAAATAATATCTTAGTCATTTAAATGGCCCAAAAATTAAGAGCAAATTTGTACAAAAATCATGTACTCACAAAATTATTGATACCGAAAATGAATATTTATCATCAACGACAAACTTGTGTGTACTTTGTACATATATGAAAAATAGTGAAGACATTTTCAGAATATGAGCTTAATTGGTTGGCAGATTGAAATGATGCATCTGCAAATTTTGAAAAGAATCTTCCATACTGATTCCATATGGATTTCCTATAAATACATTTATCAAGATTTATAGAAGGGTAAATACAGAAACAAAAAATAGCACTCTATTTATATGTAAAAAAAGATAGATACATGTAGATACCCAAATTCCATGCTCTCTAAGCAACCGAAATTGGAGAGCAACATAGTGGAGGCTAGAACTACTAAATTCGGTTCCATGGATGTCCCATATTGTTGTTCGAATTTGTTCTGCAAAAAGGTGATCGATTCCGAGATGCTGAAGTGAATCCACTAATGTTATTCTCTCCAACCCGTCCTCGCAAGTGTTAAGCAACATACAGATGTCCTCCTTCAGTTTCTTTGCTTTGATCCTCAACGAAACCTCTGACCTCTGCATAGATCATGTTAGAAGATCAACCAAAAACTCAACATAGTGATTTTCATGCGTATAAGGAGGTTGTACTTTGCATTTTCAGAATTGGGCTGCTAGCTAATAATCCACCATTGTAAAGTATTATAAAAGATCATGCTTGAAGCTATCTACAATTATATGTATTAAAAATCGAAGGCAAACAAAACCAGCACATGCATTCAAAAGGCTAAATCATCTACACTATCAATTATTTGGTGGGCCATAATTATAACAATGAAGATTTCAATGTTTTGTGAGGAGATGGAGATTTAGATCTAGCGAAAAAACATATCTTCCGCTATGGATCCTTCGCCATTAAGGACGGATCAAAGGTTAGGTTCTGGGAGGATAAGTGGCTAGGCACTGCCACTCTCCAGGAACAATATCCCGCCTTATACAATATTGTGCGGCATAAGGGTGATACTATCGCCACGGTTATGGAATCCTTTCCGCCGAATGTGGCGTTCAGGAGAGATTTAATTGGCCCTAGCCTTGAATCGTGGAACATTTTGGTACAACGCCTATCCACGATGCAATTGACGCAAGGGATCGTTGTATTTCGTCGGGACCTATATGTGAGTGGTAATTTCTCGGTGGAGTCCATGCGTATTGCACTACTAGGGAAAAGCCTATACACAGAATTTTACCAGTAGCGCTGTGCAAAATCAAGTGCTGCTGCTACTTAGTAGCAGCGCGCATGAATAAACCGCGCTATTGCTATGACTTTAGCAGTAGCGCGTACTAGCAAAAAGCGCTGCTGCTAGTTCGAACTGGGCGCACATGGCTAGCCCAACCTAGCAGTAGCGCGTATAATGGCACAACGCTACTGCTAATCTCCTTAGCTGCAGCGTGCTTACGTGTAAAGCACTGCTGCTAACGAAAATAAAATAAAGTGAAAAAAGGAAAAAAGGAGAAAGGAATAGTAGTAGCGGTTTTCAGTAAACGCGCTATAGCTAACTTAGCTATAGCGCGTTTTCGGAAACGCACTACCGTTACGTTTCACTTAAACAGCGGTTTCCCCCCATCCCGCCCCCCGGCCATCAATTCTTCCCCAAATCGTCCCTCGCCCTCGCCGCCGTCTCCTCACCGCCGTCGCCCGAGGCCGCCCTCAGCCTCACAGCCGCCGCCCAAGGCCGCCCTCCACGTCACCGTCGGCGCCCTCCACCTCACCGCCGCCCGAGCCCCCAGGACCGCTCTTGCCCGTGCCCGAGCCCGCCCTCTCCGCCCCTGCCTCCGT